AAATCTAATAATAAAGAATTAATTATTATAGAATTTAGAACAAAATCATGAATACCTTCGAATAATTGCTGATGTAGAGACACGGTGGAACTCAAGTTACCTTGCATGGAAACGTTTAATAAAAATCAAAAATCTTATTGACATTCTGGCATCTACTATGTTGATTGATAATGATCCTTCAGTACGGAATGATGGAAAACGACTAAAAAATATAAATTTAACAGAAAATGAATGGCAAGAAATAAATAAATTAATTAAGGTTTTAGAAGATTTTGCCGAGGCTACTGAATATTTAGGTGGGAGCAAATATACAACCATTAGTTTAATGTATAGTATATTAACGGTAATTAGTCAAAAATTTTACCAGATGATGATTCAGATGATGATTCGGATAATGATTCCAATATCGAGATTATAGATTTAACTGGTCCAAATACCGTTTTTGATGATAATGTCAGTTATGGAGATGCACCTGAAGATGAACCTATTACTGAACAATCTAAACGTAGAAAAATTAATATTAATTATACGTGTTGTCCAAATCTCAAATCATTTGGGATTTGGAACGCCAAAATTCCAAATTACTAGTATTTGAGATTTGGGATTTGGGATTTTGGCAAAAAATACTAATCATAATTTGGGATTTGGGATTTGGGATTTGGGATTTGGGATTTGGGATTTGGGATTTGGGATTTGGGATTTTGGCATTTGGGATTTCGGCATTTGGATTTTGAATTTGGGTGGCAGGTATAATATTAATATACCACAAGTCTGTACCAATCTTGAAAATTGTGTTAAAATAGCACTATATCAAGCGATGAATCATTATTGGAAAGTTCCACAAGAACACGGGATGTTGGCTGCTTTGTTGGATCCACGATTTAAAGAACTTGAATTTGCATCTGATTCATTGCGCATTAAAACTCAAGAACAATTAAAAGATTCTTATCAAAATATAAACTTAACTAATAATGAAGATCAAAAAGCTGGATTACAACCAGTTTCATCAAATTCGTTATTGGCAAGAATGTTCCAAAATAATGTTATTCATGTTGATGAAGTAACTAGTTATTTAGCTTTGCCTAAGGTTCACCCTGATGATTGTCCTTTATTATGGTGGAAAAATAATAAGACTCGGTTTCCAATATTATCAAAATTAGCAAGAAAATATTTGGCTATTTCCATTACTTCTACCCCAAGTGAAAGACTTTTTAGTGAAGCTGGCAATATAATGACTATAAAAAGAACACAAATGGGATCAAATACATTAGAGAATTTAGTTTTTTGTAAGAAGAATTGGCACTTGGTTGGAGGGGTTTTTCCATTAAATTGAAAGTATATTAGAAAAAAATATTTTTTTTTTTGCATCACTAAAAGTA